CTAACAAAAGGCTCAACAGAAAAGACCAGGAAGGCAAACCTGTAGGAAGCGTAAGGGAGTGACATCCCAACTCAGCTCAACCTCACTGACTGGACTACTCTGCAAGACGTCCTGGTCCGCAGTACCTTGTGACCTATTCCCACAAATAAATTTAGAATATCAAAAAATGAAAGAAGAGTGTTGACTTTCTCAAGAGTATTATCAAGCATATGAAGGATTGGAGCTATCCAAAAAGAGGATTTACAAGCAAAAACAAACCCCCAGGAAATCCATGATGCCTACACCTACGTCAACAACAAGGAAAAATCCAAGCTTTACAATTATGGTCACATCCGTGCCTTTGATCCCCAAAATCAGGATCAGCTCATAACCAAAATCCACTTTACCAATCTGCAAACTATTAGCAAGACCAAAAAGGCAGATCTAGAATTTTTATTCTTGTTTCTCCAAAAGGCCAAACAGTTTGTTAACCCTGTTAGGTCTCCTGGTCAATCCTGTGGGGGCTGTATGTGGGCTATTCGCTGGAGGAAGTCAATATGGCTAAGTTGGGAATTCTGGGAATTTGGTGAAATCAGAAGGCAATTGATGCACATCCTGAGCTATATGTGAAGCATACCAATGATTCAACTTGTACCGGACAAATCCTGTGGAGCATGTTTCATCCGCTTGCAAATGTTTCTGTTGAAGCTCAAGCCAACCAGCAACTTATGATTGACCACAACATTCCAGCTTTCTTTGATCCAGCCTTTCCCAATGAGAATGATGCTTCCCCTGACTCATTCTTTTCCCTAACGTGACATACACATCAAACGGATTTTTCAATCATCCTCACGTTGAAAACAAAGACAAACCATCAATTCCATTCACCTTCCTCCTATCTCTCCCAATCTGCAAGAGAGCTGGACGGCTAGCTTTTGAATCCAATGGAGGACTTCCACTCGCCATTTAGAGTGCTTTTTAAGCCCTCCCAAGTCCTAAATTAACACCCCACTTGTAATTTCAACCATCTCACATGAGACTGGTTTCTACAAGGCCTGTAAAAAAATATTTTTTGGGGCCAAAAATTAAGATCTAGGGGGTGTAAAATGAATTCTGGGAGGGTTCTAGATTGCGACGGGAAGTCATCCAATGGCTACAATGTGAAAGAAGGTCTATTTATTTTCCCCAAGTTGGGCTTTGGGATCAAATTCCAGCCGGAAACAATGTGTCAGGCCCCATTTTGACAACATGATTAAATCCATGGGACTCTTCCCCCAGTTGAGCCAGGAAACTTCTCCAGAATAGGAATGTCAATTTTGCTGATGTTGAGTTTTTGTCCAAGAATTCCAACAAATAGATTTGTTTCTTTATCAAATTATTATTTTTAATTTATAAAATTTTAAATCTCTGTTTTTCACTTGAGTTTGGTGCACAATGTGCCTGTTTTTATTGGAATCAAGCCTCATATATCCATGCAATACTTGGCAAATTGAGCAATTTACCCTCTTGTACACCAGAGATGGTATTCAGGGTGCAATTGAATGCAGTTTTTTTGTGTCAGTTCATTTGTTAGGGTACATCTTGTGTTTTAGTACGGCTTAGAACCTTGACAACAGTTCTTAGGCATTATAGGAACCCTTTTTGGAACTTCCTGGAGGGAGTGCAAGGGTCTACTCTTAGGTCTCTTGGATGGCCCCTCAGCCTCTCAGACCATGATAAATAATGTATAAGAGGACTCATGTTTCAGGCTTTTCTGAGGAGCAGAACAACGTCAGCCAAACTCAGAATATAATCAAAAATCATCCGCCAGCATGTCAGAAAACCATATTCAACTTGAAGATGTTTGTGGGAAGCATCACATTAGCTTTGAGGGGATCATTGGAGAAGGTCACACTGTATGTTCTCTCTCTTTCACAATTCTATTAGCTCCATCTCACTTATATTGGTCCTTCAAGTCTGTGATGGATCACAATCTTGATTTGGGGCATACTCACTACTGGATATGTTCAAAAGTCAATTGATCACCTCTTTGTTGCGACACTCAGGATCATTCAGACCTTCGACTTTCTTATTTCAGTAGGAAAAAAGGGACATCCGACTGGCTTTATTACAGGCAAATCTACTCAATTCATGGATATGTCTCAGGAGGAAGCAAATATGAACTACCCATTTTAAGCTTTGATGATGATGAACCTCAATCCATTGTTCCTAACCACAGTAATGGGCTTGAATGCCTCAAGACACACCAGACACACCACCCAACCCAACATCTACCTTGCGACTCTATTGAGTCAATCTGTCCACTCCCACCCCCACTCAACGCTCCCCACCCAAAGCAACCAATCAATCTTGCCGAGTCAGGCCCCAATCGGTTTTTACTTGGTCGTTTGGCTTGTTGGCTGCACCGCTGGCCAAGGTTGTTAGTTGTTTGGCTTGGATTTGTTGATTGCCTTGCGGCGTTGGGTGGGTTGTTTAGCTTGCCGTCTGCTTCACCGGATTTGTTAGGTCATCTCATCACGTCGCTTGATTGCATCCCTTCTCCCATCCACTTGGTCTCTATCCTCAGGTGAGTAATTCTCTTCACTCAACAATACAATCTAATGCCGTATTTCCAATTGGATTGTATTGCTCTTGGGCTATACATTATCTGTTCATCCATTCACAACTGAACTTTGTTTTCTTTTTTAGCCTCCCTTGTGTGTACTCAAGTGTCAGGTGGTTTTTTTTCTTTCATCATTTTTATTCATTGGTTCATGAATATTTTTTTATGGTTCAACTTCATCACTGACTGCTTTTGGTGTCATTATTTTTTTCTGTTTATTTAGATTTGTCTCTGAGTTGAATTATTTCTTGTTTTTTTTTTCTTTCTTTTTTTTTTTTTTTTTTTTTTTTTTTTCATCTTGTTTATTCAATGGTTCACCAGTATTTTTTAATGTTTAATCACTGACCAATGTGTTTTGAGCTTTTGTTTAAATTTTTCTCTTGTGTCACCCTTCAGGTGAGTATTTTCTTGGTATTTTTTTCCTTTCCTCCTTTTTAATGGTTCAATAATATTTTTAATTATTCATTCATTTTCTCAATCAATATCAGCTAGCCCATCATTGTTGTTGGACCTTTTTTTCAGACATTCAATATTCAAACACTTCCACTAGGACGAGGCTGCCAGAAAAAAAGTCAGATTTGTCTCTGTCACTGTCAGGTAAGTTTTTTCTTGTAAATTTTCATCATTCATCAATTCACACAATTTTTTTAGCTTTCATCACACACATCCCATTCTCTCGCTCTGGATGTTGTTCACAATCACATCATAAATCTCACACTCAGTCTCAACCCCCTTTTCTTTTTAATCATTCATCTTCTCATTCAATTTCGACTGAACCTATTTTATCTTTGTTCCATTTTATTTGAAATTTCACCCAGGACAAGTTGTGGCCACTGGAAGAAATTTTGATTATCCTGGACCATTGGAACAAATTAGTTCTATTTGATCATGGCGCCCTCCTCCACCCCTGCTTCAAGGTCCCAGCTCAACATCCCTCCCCCAGCCACCCCATAAGCAACAGTGGGCCGCTACGCTACACTACGCTATTTGACCACTAACTGTTAGTGTAGTGGTCTTTTTATTTCCTGAAAATTCTGTAATGTTAGCTGACGCTAAACCCCACTACGCTAACTGTTAGTGTAGTGTAAATTTTTCTCTCAAATTTTTTGGTAGTGTTAGCTTCAAATAAACTCAGCTAAACTAACAGTTAGTGTAAATTTTTTTGCGCTAACAAAATTTTGACGGTCAGATAGTGTAACTGATTTGAAGCTAACATTTAGTGTAACTTATACCAAATTAAGCTACGCTACACTACATGTCTAGTTACGCTACACTAAATGTCTAGTTACGCTACACTACAGTCGAAGTTACACTACACATGCAGTGTAGTGTAAATCATCAATTAGAGAAATTGACATGTCAAGTGAGATATTATGCTCTTGAAACCTCTTCCTCTGCTTTCTGTTGTCAATGGACAAGTTGTGTGAACTGTCCATATAACTGATACGGCCAAGGTCCATAGTGACAATTTTCAATTTCCTATGATCACACACAATCCCGCAGAAAATGAACAGCACAAGATTTAGAGACAAACAAACAGAGGATGTGCCTGGTGAGATTTGAACTCACAACCTCAGCAATGCTGAGTCACATACCAGAGTGCTTCCTTTACCAACTAGGCTACAGACTCTTGTGGTTGTGAGGTTAGTTGGGTGGTAGTTGCCATGGTTCATGCCAACAGCTCCACCACACTGTGGTGATACATCATGGATACACCTCAATCCCCCCCCCCCCCCTTGCTACATGATGTGAAAGTGGAAATTGAACAAGTGTGGGAATGGAACCCAGTAAAGTATGATCTGAGGGGGAATTGAACCCATAATCTCAAGGTAGTCTGACAGGGGAATGTGGTCTTACAAGTAAGTGTTGAAAATTGGCAGGGGGCTAAAATTGAGTGGCCCCCATTACCAACTGAAAAAAATGATGATCAATTGAGGGGATCTGGATATAGGCCCCCCAATCAGGCACTGTCTTCACGGTAGACTAATGCTAGTCATGTGGTCATGTAACTTTTAATCAGTTACGCCAACAGTTATTGTAACTTTTTCACCAGTTACGCTAACAGTTAGTGTAACTGAGGGTACCACTACACTAACTGTTAGTGTAACTTTGCAAAAAGTTACACTAACATGTAGTGTAGTGGGTTCACCCACTAACACCACTAAAATTTCACTAACAGGATTTTGGGTAGTGTTAGTTGTGCTTTTTCCAAGGTAGCTAACACTACGCTAAAGTTTTTTTTTTGGTTTTTCAAAAATCCTGTAGTGTTAGTGGGCCAAAAATACCCGCTAACAGTAAATTTTGTGTAGCGTAGCTTAAAAAGCTAACACTACGCTACACTAACACTACGGTTAGTGTAACTGGCCCACCGTTGCCATAAGCCTCTTGCCCTCTGTCTCAACATTTGATGATGATAACCATGCCTGTCCAAAATGATCCAAATTTTGTCAGGCCCAGCAACAATTATTGCAAGGCCCTTCCCTCTTCCTCAGCAACACAAACCACTGCTAGACAAACATGTAAACAACCTCAACAGCCATCATCTGCTTTGGCTTCCACCTCCACCTGTGTGGCCTGCAAGACAAAGAATGCCAAGGTCAATGAGAAGGGCATCAGATTCCCAATTGGACAGCAAAATGCACGGGACATCCAGGGTCATTGGCTTCACTCAGGATTCAGATGATGCAAACTGCTGTTTCAAGCTTCACAAGAAGAAGTCCAAAGCAAAGGAGTAGGAGTTTCAGGATGTCAAGGTGTCAGCCTATGTGATGCCAAGACAAGTGTCCTCTGGCTACAAAAGGTGCAAAAAGTAAGAGTTTTTATGGATAGAACTCTGGGATGAAACTGGTATAAGAAATTCAAAAGAATCAGGGGGTATCAAATATAATCAAATCCACCATTATTTAATTGACTGGTTTGAAAAAATCCACCCTTTTTTAAACATGTTGGTTCTTCATTTAGCCCCTTTTAGGGCCCATTGATGCAATTTTTTTTTTGAAAAAAGTCACTGGTTTCTAAAGGTGGATTTCCTATATTTGATACCCCCTATTACGTAGAAATTATGGATTAAATCCAAAATATGGCCAATTTATATTAATAAAATTAATATATAAATAAAACCAGAGGGGCCTGATAAATCAGGGGTGGTTTAATCCCTCTAATGTATTGTGAAAAAATAAGAGGATTGAGATACCTGATACACTGGGGCCTGTAGCAGGTGTGGTTTAAATCCCAGGAGATAATTTTTGGGGAAAATCTTCAAGAAAGGGTTATTACTTACTAGTATTAATCCTAAGGGGTCTTGAGGATCTTTTGAGTAGGAACTGGGAATTTTGAAGCGCTCAAAAATGTTGATTTTGGGCTCTGGGTGATAACTGGGGAGTTTCTTGAGGAATCTTGAGGCTTAAAAACAGTAATAATAGTAATGACTGGGCTAATTACAAGTGTAGGGGACTTGTAAATGGTAAGTAGATTTCTATATGGTATTTTAAAGCTTGGGGATCATCATTTGAGTGGTCAGAAGGCCCTTGAGATACCTGTGGCAAGCCTTAGGAGTGGCTCAGGGGAGCTTAGTAGGACTTAGAAGCGCTTTTGGGCCCATTTTAGCCCACATGGTGACGTAACAAGGGCTGAAACCTTGGGTATAATATTCTAGAAGCTCCAAGGGGTCATGCACAATTTTTTTTGATTCAAGAATATCCCTTGGGAGCCTGTGGGTAGGGGGCAATCTGTTATGTGGAGCTATTTCCTTAGAAATTGGCCACAGAATATTCAAGAGGTGGTTTCTGAGGCTTGCTACACGTGTTACCCATTGGAATATGGTTACTGTAGTATGTTCATGAATATTCTAGGTTGTCTATATTTTTATTACACATTTGGGGGCTTTGTTGTCACGTGCAATGGGGATTCTGGGGCTTTTGTGGCCCATTTCTTAGATACCAGTGCGCAGCATGACTATGCGGCATGCGGTCTTGGAGACAGTTATACACTCCCCACTGCTCTATACTCTAAACTACACTCCACACTCCAATTCTGTGACTGGATTTGGAGTATATGCATTTTGGTATGCATAATGCATAATTGTCACAGTGCCTGTAATCTAAGGGTACCTGCTAAATATTCATGTGTATATTACTAGGTGAAGGAGTTGGAATTAAGGGTAACTTTGGCTAAATTGTATGCCGTTCCAGAATCTGCAATAATAATTAAAGTTTTCTTTATACTTTTCAAGTTATTTATTTAGAAATGTTGCATGCAAGAAAAAAAAAATAACCAAGGGGGGAAGCGAAAAACGCTATTGTGAACCCCCCTATTGTCAAACATTGAGACGGTAATCTGCACCAAGAGCCATGCCCAGGACAAGCCAAGGCAATTGCCGCGGGTTTTAAACTCCCTTTAACTGCAAAGGAAATTCATGCTCAGAGAAACCAACCAGAATAGGTTGCAATGGGAAAGATGGTTGACGGAAACCATTTCAACAACAAAACATTCAACCAGCTACTTTTCCTCTGGATTATCCAACACTCTTTGCCGTGGGTTTGAATCGAGGATTTCATTTTAGGTATAGCATTCCGTTATCTTTGACATGTCTCCAGGCCGTAAAACCGCATCTGGGCTGCCACTGAGGCCCATTGGCTGTACTGCCACTTGCAGAGCAAGGTGTTGGACACACTCCAATTAAGCTTTTTCTCTCTCTTTTGGTCCTCATTATCATGCAATTAGATGGCTGATTGCTCCTCTGCAATTCAAATCATAGTCCAATCCCTCAAAGATCAGCCTTATCCACAATGTATGGACTACTAAGCAAAATCAGAACGCTTGCCTAGGCATCACCTTGGCTTATATCAATAACAGTTGGACGTTCAAGGTCAGTCATCTGTTGGTTAAGTATATTGCGTGGACTCATAAGGGCAAATATCTGGTGATCCCATTGGCCAACATCCTCCTCAAGTCCATCTTGAACAATAAGATAAGTCTTTCTATTATTCTGTATCAAACTTTGAATGACACGCAAGCTAATCAGAACTTCAGTTGGTTCTTGTATTTACATCATAGCCCAAATTACTGACTCAGGATCCAAAAAACCTCACACTGGCCGTTGAAGTTGACCTATTGCTCAAGAATGATGTGAATAACACTAAAAACATCTCCATTGGCAAGAATCACATTCAGTGCTTCTGTCACAAGCTGGCCCTCATCCTCAATGCCGGTGTGGTGGTCCAGGCTGTTGTGCGCAACAAAACTGCCAAAAACCCTACGTTATACCCTAAACCACTTACATATATTAATATATTATTGCATAATCAGAATCTACATACAGTTTTACCTATAGTCACTCACTACAACTATACATCTATCTCTATTAGTTTAGAAGATAATCCAATATAAAGGTTAAATTCATACCATAACTAGTCATTAATTAGTATTTAATAGTATTTTACCACATATATATAAGTACATACACATAAATTGTTAAATCAGCAGGCCTCCACCAGTAGTGCAGATCAGTTATGCAACTCTTGCATGCATACATGCAACCATTAGGCCTCCACTTAGTAACTCAATTAAATGTACACAGACTTTGCATAAATGTATGTGGACAGAAAACCTTCACCAGGCAGTGCAACCAGTCTATGCAATCCTTACATACAGTAGTACCATATTCAGTTAATTCCACAGCATAATTAGCTCAATGCATGTACTCTTTGCAGGAGGCAGTGCCACCCACAAGGTCACCACCAGCAAAATCACCTCAACTGCATCACCACCAGCAAAAACAACTCAGAAAAGAATTATAAGGAGGCCTCTCCTTCACCAATTCCCCCAGGATGACCCAAACAGTTCATACCCAACTAGCTCAGTGGTCAACACCATCATCACCCAACCAGCACAGTACCCAGCTATCTCAGTGGTCATCAACATTAAAGTCTAGTCAACACCAGTAACAACAAAATCAACATTAAAATTCTATTTGGAACCAGTAACAACAACAACCACAACAACATCAACCTCATCAACCTCAACAACAACAACCGGTTTCACTACTCATTCAGAATCACTGTAAAAACTATAAACCAATTAAAAACATCTTCCACTAGAATTGTTTTCACACTCATACTCACTGTGTAAAGGCTGTATAACCATCTTGTATTGTATTACATACTGATCTAGGTCTGATAGAGACCACAACATTTCAAGTTTTCTCCATCATAAAGTTACACCACAACAATAAATTGAATTGTTTTCAGAATTCTTGTGTAGTAAATAGAGGGGCAGGTCTTTCAAACCACCTGTAACAGTAATATTACCTAGTGAAATATCATATTTTTATTTCCCCCTCAAGGACTGCCAACCCATCCCAAAGGAGTTATCACATCTGGTGTCCCAACAGTGGCCAACAACTTTCAGAAGATCAATGACGTATCATCAATACCATCAAGACTTACACTCAACCCTGGATCACGAGCACAAGGATTTGACTTTGGCGTAGGAAAGACAATAGGAAAGAGGAAAAGGCTTACCTGGCTCAGAGAGACTGCAGTCAGTTCTCTGCTGAGCCAGAGAAGAAGGAGCATCACAACTACATACAAGCTTGTGACAGACTGGAGTTCACATGTTGACTCTTCTTGTGAACCCCAAAGGAGGAGGGGGTTTACACTTACCAATGTAGTATTTACCAAAAAGACATTCTTCAACCTATCGATCTCGGTTCCTTTTCCAGTGTGATTAAAGAAGAACTTGAGCCAATAATTTTGATTTTCAAGGTGGTTATCCTTTCAACGGTGCAACCATTACGAGACACATACTCGTAATGGCCCGTATTGTACTTTCAAAGTTGGCAATTACACGGAATTGTATTGTACTCATTCTTGAGTACGATACAATGTATTTTTACACAAGCGTACTTCCCCAATAATACTATACACCGTACTCGTAAGATGATGTACTTGGGAAAAGTACGATACGTGACTGATACAGATACGTAACTAGCTGTACTTCCATGTACTCCTTTTTCATTTTTGTTTAATTTTTTTTTCAATTTTTTTGCATTTTTTTCAATTTTTTTTTTCAATTTTTTTTCAATTTTTTTTCCCAATTTTTTTCCCAATTTTTTTCCCAATTTTTTTCCCAATTTGTTTTTCTCAAGTTTTTTTTTCTCAATTTTGTTGCTCAATTTTTTTCTCACCTTTTTTTTCTCACCTGTTTTTTGGGTCAGGCTAGGAGATTGAACAAGCTGGTTCACTCCAAACCATTTGGAATGAAGTGTTTTTTACTAGAAAATCTTGGCCAAGTTTGTTGGTGTCATATGGAAGCATGTTATGTGTGAAATCAACTCAAATTCTATCAAATTTTATGGGGATTTCACACATTATGCTGCTACAAAACACTGCTACATTGTGCAAACAAATGGGGCCCTAGTGTTTTTTTGAGTGTTCAACCTTGCACTCCAATTTTTTTGGAGTGTAAAAATGATGCACTCCATTAATATTCAAATACCAAACACTTCCAAGGTTTTTGTCAGCCTTAGAGCAAGCCAAGCTGGCCAAAAGACTGCTTAATTAAGCCCTCCTTTTCACTCAAGTTCACACTGTAACTTTTTCATCTTAATCTTTTATTTAATTCTGAATTCAGAATTTAATTCCTCTGCTGAATTTAAATTATTAACCACTACCCACTTTTACA